GGGGGGGGGTTGCTCTATCTTCCTCCTGCTGTACAGCCGCTCTAAAGGGCTGTTCCTCTCCCACCAGCACACCGGGGGGGTGTTTTCCCTATATATATATATATATATATATATATAAATATATACACACACGCATGTGTCACACCTTTCTCCGGGCGTACGTAACACCTCAGCAGAGGAGGGACATGAGTTCACCGCGTGCCGGGCTGGGAATCTGGCGCCATTTCCTCCCCATTTTCCCAGCACAGGGTGGGGAAGAGATCTCTGATGGGGGGGGAGAGCGAATCCCAGCACCTCTCGTGCCAGGGAGAAGCCGCCCGGGGGGATGACGCCGTCGTTATTTCGGCCAGCCGAGCCGGCGCGGGGTTAAAAATCACGCTGTGAAGTTAATAAAATAAGGGATAGGAAGAAAACGCCGATCATCTGACCCGAAAAGTCCTTTCCTCTGCGCAGGAGAGATCAGAAGAGGGAAGGAGGTGCCGAGAAAGTGAAGTTCGGGGGTGGGAGAAAGCGATGAGCGCATCGCGGCGCCGGCATCAGGGAGTGTACGCCGGCGGCGGCTGGAATTGGTTGATCACTTCGTACTCGGCTGGGTAAGGTTCATTCTCCTCCATCTCGGACAGGAGCTCCAGGGCTTGCTCCTCTTCCTCGGTGGGGTAGTGACGCAGCAGGTTGGCGGCGGTGGCGAGGATGGAGGCTCCCCCGGCACCCGCTACCAGGTAGAAGCTGACGGCGAAGGTGACGTAAACTTGGGAGCCGTGGTATTTTTTGTGCTGCTGTTGTTGGGCGAGGATCAGCTCCGAGGCCCAGTAGCAGAATCCGATGACGGTGGCACACTGCAGGACTGAGAGAGAGAGAGCGGGAGAGACGCCGAGCGGCCAGCGAAAAAATAAATCAGCGATTTGTTTCACAGCCGAGCCGGCAAAGGGATGCCGGGCAGGTTGAAGCAGGCAGAGCGTGAGAGCCTGCGGATGCCCGAAATCCAACCCAAAAGAGGGGAAAACACGGTGGAGGATCACAGGCTCAGCATAAACCTGGCTGAGCGAGGCGATCAGCAGCACAAACCAAAGCTGAAAGGCTTGGACGGGATTTTTTGGGGGACCTGAAGGAGCGGCTGGGGACAAATTGGTGCTTAGTGTTTGGGGCGGGCTGACAGCAAGGGCTTGCCCTGAGCTGCTCAAGGTCTGACAGGGGCAGTTCTGCCAGAGAGGAGGGATATGAAAGCTCCTTCGACCCCACGAGCCAGGAAAGATGGCCTTCCTCCTCGGAAAGGCACTACGGGACCTCTATGAAAAGGAAGACCCGTTAGTAGACAACGTTTATCCTCAGCCTCTTCCAAACCCGTTAGTAGACCCTTAACGTTCATCCTCAACCTCTTCCCTCCAAGATTTAACTCCGGTTTTAGCTTTGTGAGGCTTCTGTCGCCCTTCAGACCCGAAACACCACGAAGGGGAAGCTCCGAACCGAAGGCTGAGAAAAAGCCTTCAGGGTTCTTGTTTTTCTGTCCCCTTGAAGGCTGGGGATGAAAATATAAGAAACCCAGGGTTTTCCTCCGGCGCTGGAGGGGATTTACCTGTGAGGATGTGAGCGAAAGCGTAGCGGCGAGTGATCTTTAACGCCGGGTGCTTGGGTCCGAAGACATCGAGGAGAAAAGCCGAGAGGCTGCAGATGATTCCCAGGAAGCAGAAGGCAGCGATGACCCGGAGCAGCAGGACCGTCTGTGGGTTCATGCAGTAATCTGCGAGAGGAGGAAAAGAGGCAGGCGCTGAGCACCAGAAAACTCCTCTTTTCCACCCAAATCACTCACCAGACAGAGCGACCAGTATCACGACACCCCCTGCTCCGATCCTGCCCAGCGTTTTCCTTTGAGGTTTAACAACACGGCTCTCGACAGAAACGGGAGCACAGCGAGGTGCTTTTAATTAGGTTCTAGAAAACGAACCTCCTTCATACAGCAGCAGTTGGCCCGGTCATGTATTTCACTTTACAAACTGTTATCGCCACGGAAATTAAAGCTAAAGAAACTCTGAGACACCAAAGTGGCTGAAATAACAAAGCAAGCTGCACGGGTTCCTTATTTAAAGCAAAGCCGGGGGCGTTATTAAAAGCCTTTTGATTAACGCTGCGTTCCACTGGAGAACAAGGGGCTGTAACCCCAAATTAAAACCTGCGGGGGCTCTGCCCGTCCATAACCACGGCTGCAGCCAGGGCTGGGGGGGTCTGGAAGTTCAAAGTCATCCCCCCCGCCTCCAGCTTCCACCAGGTCCCTGCAGCGAGGCGGCGGGGAAAGGAAGGAGGGGAAGGGGCTGCAATCGCCTCCCCGCCGGGACAGATTTTAGTAAAGCAAGGCAGGTGTTTGTTTTAACGGTGCATTAAAAACTTCTCATTAACGGGCCGGGGTGGCGCACGGGTGGGCACGGGTGGCAGAGAGCAGCTCTAACGCTGTCCCGTGTCGAGGGGGGACGCGACCAAACACAGCTGCCAGGAGGGAGGCAGGAAAACAAATGCGTAACGCATCCACCCACCGCGCTTTACCATCAAATTTACACATTTGAGAGCTTGATCCGCGTCAACTCCTGGTTTTAACTCATAAAAACCCGCCCCAGCCACGCACAGGGCCTGCTGTTAGGGACGCAGCCAGCTCAAAAAATAAGTTGGAAACCGTGGTTTTGGGGCTTCTCTCCTTCCTGACTGCTTTATTCGCGCGGGAGCTGCTCAGGCAGGGGGGGGTGAGGCCCGTTCTGCTGCCGGTAACCGCGAACACACGCATTTGTTGCTGATGAGTGTGTGCGGGGGGGCTGCGGGTGCCCAGGTCTGAATAACCTCAGCGCTGAAACGGGGACAAACCAGCTCGTTTTGGTGAAAAGCAGAAAGCTTTATGAATAACCTTTGTGGAGAGGTGCCGGGGGGGGTGGCTGAGGCTGAGCTCTGAGGTTGGAGGTGTTTAGGGGAGCGGGGGGTCGGC